TTAATGCATCTTTAGAGCACAACTAGGAACTAAAGTGCTATCCTGCTCCCTGGAGAACACTAGAAGAGTAGGAACCCTTCCCTTTCTCCTCTGTTTTCATTGCCAGATCTGTCTGCTTATCTCAAATGTGGCTTTTTTTCCAGCTGTCCTCTACTGATTGTTTTTATATCTGTACAGCCTCTGGGTAGCATTCCTGTAAGGTTTCCCTCATGCTAGGAGTTGGAAGAAAACAGAGGATCTTTTGTGGAGCGCTGGCAAATTTAAGCAAACCAGACAAGAAGCGGCGTAAGTCAGGTACAGTGCAGTGGCTTTTTTATTGACATTAAACTTTTTACAGTGAAAGTTACTGCAGCATAACAGAGTGCCTGTGAAGAAGAGGTTAAGATTGCAGAGCAAGGGTAGGCAGGGTGTGGGAACTCTTTACCTCACCCCCAAAGCTTTAGTTCAAGACAGTTTTTTCCGATAGCAGTTGATTGCTGTAATCTTTTAGCCTTATCACAAAGGCTTTCAGGCCCTGGAAGTGACCAGAACAGCGTGGTTACAGGTAGGTGAGCACCAGCATTGCTGATACAGGAAGGTTTTCCCCTCCATCTGCTCATAACCCTCTGTTCTGATTTTACGAGCTGCTTTCCCCCGCCTTCTGCCCGTTGTAAAAAAGGAAAGTGACCTTATGAAACTCCTTTGCTGTATCAGTAGGTGGGAGCAGCCCTCGTCCCACCAGAGACACAAGGAACAATCGAAGATCTCTCTCCTCTCGCCCAGTCCCACTGGTGTAACTTACTACCTTCTTGGCTGTTAGGATGCTTTTATAGGGTAAATGCTACACGTTAGTACATCGGGCATACTACATTTGGAGGTACTGTAAAGGTATTTAAAATAAATACATATTTTGCTGAAAAGCTTATGCAGACAATTAACCAATTCTCCTATGAAAAGAAGCGGTAGCACCTTGTTACTTTCTGGATTTGAGCAGAGCAGAAGGGAGCTTCCTCTATGTCTAAGGAAGCATTTTTAAATACGTAATTACAGTTGGATAATAAATAGAACTGCAATTCCTTGTCCTGTTCCCTCTCCTCCCCCTGGCTATTGTGATGATGGCATTTGCATCCAGTAAATTCATAGTGTCTTTATGGAGAGCTTTTTTTATTCTATCTAATGATGAGGATGAGGCCGGACTGTTCTTTCAACTGAAATTAAACACGGGATTTTTCAGCAGGACTGTACTAAGTCATTTAGGGATTTTGGAAATCACACCTTATGTTCCAAAACCTGTTTCTGGCATCAGCCATAATTCTCATCTTCTCTTTTCCCCCCATAATTGAAATTTTAAGATGGAAAAGAATAATGAGCTTAATTTCTAGGGAAGTAGAAACCATCTGCTTTAGGACTTTTTTTTTGCCCTTTTAGAAAAATGTGTATCATTAACCAGGTTAAATCATACAGCTTACGGTCTTGACTGCAGCTTGACTTCCTCACAGGAGAGAAACTAGAAGACACTCAAATAGCAACGCCTGAGCAGCAAGACCTTGTTTCAGCCAAGAGTAATGATCTGTCCATCCAGCAACGTGTGTTCAACCCAGACAACTCCAGTTTTAAGGTCCCTGAGACAACTGGATGCTGGTTTATGATATGGGCAGTATTAGTGTATACTTGCCATGCTCCTGTACACGATCTTGCCCCGTTGTGGTCACTGACAGGCAGTATCGAGCAAGGTGGACCTTGGGTCCTACTCAACATCCTGTTGGCGCGTAAGACGTTAAAAATTTAGACTTCCCCGGTGGGAAGTGGGTTTCAGTTGGCAAAGCCTCTTCTACAGGGACAGACAAGCCTCAGTGCCGAATGACAAGACAAACTTTACTGAAATAATAAGCTCCACACATAAATGCACTACAAAAAAGCACACATTAACAAGTAGTTAATCTGCCGAGACTGTTATATAATAGAAAACACAGTTCTGCTACAAGGAAAGCTTTACCACTCTCTCAAACCAAACGGCACAAAAAAAAAATCAGTGTTTTTTAATGAAAGATACAGGTGAGATTTGAACCCGGTTCTACCCAGGCTGCACTGACTAAGGAGCAGCTTTCCTGAGAAATTCACAGGGGAGGTTTACAGGGTATTTTTTTTGTTTCCCCCACTTGCATTTTTATGAGATCATTCCCCTTTAGCTGCCAGCATTTGTATTCTTCAGCTGCTATGAGATCTTCTCAGCAAAGGCTGACACCAGGCTCAGTTTTCAGAGCGGCAGCGAGCCGTTTGGAACAGACGCCTTTCCAAGCTTCCGGCACAGAAGGTAATGGCCACGCATGCTATTTCCAACCTGCATTTGTTTCCTTTGCTGAGAGAACGTCCTCCCACAAGAGTTTGGATCAATAACTCCCTGAGAATTCAGCCTGGTCGGTGCTTAGGATCCATCTGAGATACTATGCAAGAAACTGCTCCATCTGTTACAGAAGAGAACTTCAGCCGACATCTCTGAGCAGACAGGAGAACAATCATTTCTGGCTCTAAGCTCTAGTTTTACTAAAGAGTTTAATCAGACTCAGCATTGCTGAAGCAGAAAGCAGACGGGAGCAATGGGAGCAGGCCAAGGGATATGCCACACAAAAGAACTTGTTGCAAATAGGTTTTCTCTGCCCCTTATCGCTGAAACTTTCAAAACAAAGAGCAAAGGCAACCTTTAATATTCCCATTTCTCTCTCTAGTAACCTCGTTAGTGCCTGAATGAAGAATGCGAGACAGTCTGTTGTGGCGTCTGTTTTAGCTGGTTTTAACCAATGAGTCTATAGACATGTAATTTTTTTTAAACATGAAACTACCACTTTGGTATGCTCACAGGTTTAAAACTTAACTGTACGCTTTTACCAAAACATCAATTGCACTAGAGAAGAGCGTTATTAATATGGCTTGAAACAAACATTCGCATTCAAATGCTGATTTAATGCAGGACATAAGAACGCCCCAACTAAAGCCATAAAAATATAAATTCAGTATTTTCCTCCATTTTTATACTGTTCTTCCAAACGTACTCAAAAACTTGATCAGTTTCCTTACACCAGAAATAGCAACGCGGCACGTTGTGTGACAGAAGTACTTGACAGCACTGCTGGAGAACAGATTGTTCCAAGCACGTGTATCAGCAGCCAGTGCCAAATATCAACGCAGAGACAGTTTAGCTGCTCGCTCGTTGACAACAGCATCAGCTTTCACCTAAGCTGCAGGCTCCAAAAAAAGAGCCCGACAGCACAGAGGTGTAAACAACTTTTAGGGTAACTGGAAAGAGTTCTGTTGCCTTGCACCATTCTCGCAAAAGCTGTCCCAGTATTCATTTCTCAGGACATGACTGGAAGGGTCACCCTGTGGCACATTATTCCTGATAATTCAGTACAGAATAAGAAAAAAAAAATCCAACCACAACTAGCATCAGCGGATTTCACAGTTTAAAATCTACTTTTTATTTCTGTTCTTGTCGTTGGGAGGCGTACTACAGAGGTGGCTACAAAAAGCAACCCCTACCTTAGGCTAACTAGTCTTAAAATAAACTTGGGCAGAAGATAACGGATGGCAAATACATACACGCTGCGGACAGTTTTCCATTAGGTTTTGGAAATGGATCTAGTGCTCTGCTGCTATCCAAGCTTTGGATTCCAGTAGCTGAGAAGCGGAGTTGGGCTCTAAAGCAACATCTAACAAGGGTCAAAGCAGCGGGTGAGGTCTTTGCTAGAGGCAAGGCATAAAAGCTAAGGAAGAAAATTTCAGCACCATTTCTGTAAAAAGGAACTTGTGAGAAAAGAGCAAACTTAACTGGATCTCACATGCCGCAACAGGAGATAACCAAGAAACACAGAAGTAAAGAAAATCAAGTAATTCCTCAGCAATGCTGTGAAACTCCCCTGGAGAGGGGGGAAAAAAATAAATAAAGAGCCTTTAAACGGGAAAGAAGGAGTTGGATTTGGGATGGGCTCTTCCATGGCCGGGGAGCAATCGCACATCACCATGGGCGCAGCAGAGAAGGACCTTTCAAAGTCTGCCAGCCTCCTGTGATTCACGCATCTCAAATAATCCACCACTTGACCTTCCGTAAGCAACATACACAGAAAAGATATGATGAAGCATCGCTCATTTTTGATCAAGGGTAAGACAAAAACCCAAAACCAACGTGGCTGCGCTGGCTACAGGCACACAGAAGTGGAAATATCAACGTGCTCAAGTTTTGTCATCTAGAGAGCCGCTAGCTTACTGTCACAAGGATGAGCTCATCTATTGCACCTTCAGCAAACTGTGTGTGAATAAACATTTCCAGTGGAAACCCTTCCGTTCGGGAGTATGAGGCTAGCTGAGGTTTGAGTCAGCCACTGTGGATTTCAAGGTGCGAGTAACACATGAGAACAAACAGAATTTGTAGAAGCAGAGGAGATCAGAGGAAAGCAGAGATCATTTCAAGCCTGGTTCTGAAGCTTTGGTATTTTTGCAACTTTTCTGTTTCTTCGTGGTGAAGAGAGATCTGGATTTTTATAATCCAGTAGATAAATTTGTTTAAAAGTCTCTCACCTACTAAGGACTTCTGTACTTTACAAAAAAAATCCAAACCAACCAAACAACAAACCCCACAATCAATCAACAGAAATTTCACTAGTTTTTTTTCCCCTATACAGACCAAAAAAACCCCACTAGCTATTTCCATTTCTCTTGTTCAGCAAGGTCTGTTAAAGACAAAGCAGCTTTTCTTTGTTGTCGCTATTGTAAGCGGTGCAGAGGAGTGAGACAGCCTACACGTGC